CTCCTTATGTTGCCCAGCTGGCCTTGGACTCTTAAGACTTAAGAAACCCTCCTGCCTTAGGTTCCTGAATAGCTTGGACTGCAGGCATGCAGCTCAGTGCCCAACTTTCATCTGAAATGATGTTTTTGAGGTTTATCTAAAAGGTTGGCTATCTTCATTCCCTCTTCTAAGTAACATTCCATTGTTTGAATTTTGTTCATCATTATCTGTTAATGAACATTTGGGCTGTTCTTCCCTTTACACTATTGTTAATAGTGCTGCTATGTTTATTTGTTTTAAGACAGGGTCTTGCTATATGGTTCAAACTGGCCTTGAACTCATTTTAAACTCACTATGAATTTACTATAGCCTTGAACTCACTACGTAGCCTAGGCTGGTTATAAACTTGTGGTGATCTTCCTGCCTCAGCTTCCCAAGTGCTGGAATTACAGGTGTATACCACCATACCTGGCTATGCTACAACTTACTCTTACATGGTTCAAGAAAAAAACTCTGCATTTGTGTGTGTATGTGTGCAAATAGAACATAAAATAAATTAGTAAAATATTAGTATTTGAATAATCAGAGTGAAGGATATCTAGGAATTCCTTATATCATATTTCAACTTTCAGTAAGTCTTAAATTACATATGCCCAACGTTTTTTTCATTAATAGTTGAAAAAAAAGCCTGCCTTCTGAGGACTTAGTTCAGGTTGGCCTTGAACTCACTACGTAGCCCAGGGTGGCGTGAACTCACAGTGATCCTCCTGCCTCAGCTTCTCAAGTGTTGGGATTATAGTTGTGCGTGTTATAATCAATTTAAAGGAGAATAATTTGGCAATGTCTTGTCAAGGTAAAAATAAACATAAACTATCATCTAACAATAATGAGGTAGGAGATTGGGCATGGGGATAAACTGGCCAAGCAGGTGGACATAATCTGTCAAAGTCATAAGACCCAAGGCACATGTACAGAACACAGAATCCAAGATGACTCTGCAATTCCTGAACACCATATGAGGAACCAATCAGAAAAGTACTACTTTCAATTCTTCATTTATATTTGGTATGAAACCAAGTGACCCTGCGATAGAACACTTTCAATCTGGTGCCAGGCCAAGTGAGGTTTTAGGACAGCTATCTCAAATGACTTATTTGCATACAGGAGAAAGCCAATCGAGAAATTCCACATACAAAGGACTGCCCTCCATCGTCCTCCTGGCTGCTGTGAGCCTTTTCACTGGCTCATTCTACTCTGCAGAATCTACTTCCTTTCCACCTTCAATATACCTACATCCCACTACCTTTTCTATGTGTCTTGTCCAACTTTTTGTTCATGACATTAAGAACCTGAGCCACCCCAGGACTCACAAACTGGTAACAATTCCACTTCTGGTCATATATACTAAATCAATATTTTTAAAACTATGATTTATGGTCTACTGTACAATCAATTCAGTGGAAGAAAAAAAATCAGCACTTAAAGACATAAAGTGGAATACAAAAGAAAAAAATCAGGATACAATAAAGATTAAGATTTCTGTGAAATTTTCTTTTTCAACAAGGATAAATTTCAAAAACTATTAAGAAAAGTAATTCACATATGATTACTTATTATATAATGTAATTTACAGAATGTTCAAAAGGACAAAATATATCAATATATTTTAGTAATTCCTAATAAAATGTATTTTTTAAATCAACAGAATTATTAATGAAAATTTCAAGACAGTGGTGACCTCTGCAGGAGAAGATATACTAAATATAATTTCTTTTAAACAATTTGTGTAAATTCTGTTACCAGTGATTTATAGTATATACAGAAGTATAAGGAAATCTTGCCTTTGCTCTATACTAATCCAGAAAGGGTGAGCGTGGGCAGCCTGACTCTAGAAGCGGAGTCTCTCTCATCCAGAACCAAAAGAATAAACAAGCTAAAAATTAAGCTAAGAGAACAGAAAAATATTGATAAACTAAAGAAGTTATAAATAGTAAGTCTGTCTCTGAGGGAAAATTTAAAAAGACAGAAAAAGCAATACTCTGTATTGTACATAGGTTTGGACAGATGAAAAGAAAATATAAAAATCTGGACTAAAAGGAATCACCTCAAATTCATAACAGACTTTTATGGACAGGGAGAGAAGAAGATGGGATTGAAAGGAAAACAAGAGAGACAAATTTCCTTTAACTGTACCTTTTTTGCAGGGTGGGAGTTTGAGGCAGGGTCTCGCTATGTAGTTCAGGCTGGCCTTGTACTCACTATGTAGCCCAGGCTGGCCCTGAACTCCTGCAGTCCTTCAGCCTCAGCCTCCCAAGCGTTGGGATTACAGGCGTGTGCCACCACGGCTGGCTTTACTATACTACTTGAAATAAATAATGTGGTTTTTTTTGTTTGTTTGTTTGTTTGTTTTTGTTTTTTTTGGTTTTTCTCCGGTACCGGGAACCGAACTCACGACCTTGCGCTTGCCAGGCAGGCGCTTTTGCCGCTGAGCTAAATACCCAGCCCCTGAAATAAATAATGTTAATATCTGTGAATTCTGGATGGTTGGTACATGGGTAATTGTTATATTAGTCTGTATACTTTTCTATGCTTTTATGAAATATGGAAAAAAATCCTACTGTTGAATATCTATTACAATCTTAAATTTTATACGTGTTTATTTTACTTCAGTAATTTACTTGCATTTATTAAGTACACAGAGATATATATACAGATAAGTTACTATAAACTTTATTGTAATAGTTAGATTATCCCAAAATGCCCATTCAATATGACTTTTTACATATGTTGTATATATAATTACTTTTAAACTAATGATAAACTAGTTTTTAAACTAATGATAAACTAGTTTTTTAAACTAATACACTTTTTAAACCACATATATATGGTTTGTATATATACTTTTTACATATGTTGTATATATAATTACTTTTTAAACTAATGATAAACTAGTTTTTAAACTAATGATAAACTAGTTTTTTAAACTAATACACTTTTTAAACCATATATATATATATATGTATAAAGTACTTCAAGTTGTGTTAAGTAAAAGAAAATTCACTGCATATTTAAATTAACACACCTATGGCTGTGTGTCTATACATTCAGAACACCGTTGAAAGACAAAAAATTAGTTACTATGGTTGCCTCCAGGAAAGAAAACTGCATGACTAAGATGAAGAAAGGAGGGAGCTCTACCTTATATTATACTTACTTGTACCTTTTAAATTTATACAACCTCTTTATAGCATCTATTTGAAAAACTTGTTTAAAAATTGCATAGCATATGTTATGGCTTGTGTTCAGATGTCCCCCAAAGCCTCACACAGTTGTAGAGCTTTTTCGGAGATGGCTGAATCTAGAGTGTGTGACTGATTTGAAGTGCAATGCTGGGATTAAGGGTAGGGACTGCTGGATCAGTCCACTGATAGGATTGGTACAACCTTAATCCCAGTAGCCTGGAAACAGTGTAAGGGCCAGAATGAGGCTCATCTCTCTCTCGTCTCTTGTTGCTTTTGCTGTCTGCTGCCGCTAAGAACGATTGCCTCTCTGCCATGTACTACCCCACCTTGGAGCCAGTGGATTATGGACAGAAGCCTCCACAAACTGTGAGCTAAATACCTTTCTCCCTTTAAATTTGGGTGTTGGGTATTTTGTCTCAGCAACAAAAGAAAAGTAACTAAGATAGCATATTTGTATTTATTTTTTTGCATATTCATATTTTTAAAAAGCAAAATTTGTATATACCTAGAAAAAAATCTTGTAAATTATAGTAATTTAACAGTATTCTGTGATTATACACTAAACTAAAATCAAAATGGATCAAGGGACTGCCAGGCATGGTGGCACATGTTTGTAAGCCCAGTAATCAGGAGGTTGAGGCAGGAGGATTGCTGAAAGTTCAAAGGCAGCCTGGGTTAATAGCAAGACCCCATTTCGAAAAAATCAAGGAAGGAAGGAAGGTGGGGAGCAAAGGGAAGGAGAAAAGGAGGAGAAGGGAAGAAAAGGAAGGGGAGAGGAGGAAAAGAGAGTCAGATAGACAGACAGATGGACGGACCAACCAATAGATTGACTGGTCATCTGGCCAGCCTTTAAGTTTCTCTTTGGCCTAACTGAACTGTCACAGCATCACTACTCTGTACTTTGTAGCCATTATGAAGTAAAACAAGGGTGACCTGAGCACAAGCACTATGATACCATGACAATCTACTGGACAACCTGATGGTTACTAAGCAACTAACAAGGTGGGCAGTATATACAGAGTGGCTATGCTACACAAGGGGATGATTCACATGCCAGACAGAATGGAGCAGGATTGTACAAGATTTCATTTGATACTCAGAATGACATGCAATTCCAAACTTACAAATTATTTATTTCTGGAATCTTCCATCTAATATTTTCAGACTATATTTGACTATGAGTAAATGAAACTAGATAAAGTGAAGCCACAGAGAAGAAGGACTACTGTATAGACAGGAAAACATGGGAAAAGTTAGAAGGCAGGTTAGCTCGGTGATAGAGTGTGTGCTTAGCATGTGTGAGGCCCTCAGAAGGAAGGAAGAAAAGAGAGGGAGCAAGACAGGGACAAGGAGGGAAGGAGAGAGAAGGGAGGGAGGGAAAGAGGGAGGCAGTAGTCCAGAACTATTTAAAAGGAGTAGGATCTGGCAGCAAACTCCTCCTAGTAGGCCACTGCAGGTTTGATCACTACCATTTTGAAAACTGACTCCCATATCCTTGTTCTTTTCTACCTTGTATTACTCTCATCATTCCTATCTTCCCCAGCTTTGCCTAGTTGTCTTTTAAAGTGGTCAAGATCTGGCCTATATCTCTACAGTTTCACCTCAGCTGCATTTTTCTATTATGGTATCTCCTCCTTCCAGGGGAAGGCTTTATCCCACTTTCAAAGTAATCTGCAATAGTCAGGATTCTAAAGTGACTGACTCACAGCCAGAAGTGGTTGGAAATCCTCTGACCTACTAAAAGAAAGAAAGACTATAAAAAGGGCTATATCCACTTACCTCGAACCTGCTTTTTTATTTCTTTGGCAGAATCCAGCCATGTCTGTAAAAAGAAAAAAAGGCATTCACACAGAGCTCCAAAACACATAAACAACAGGATCACTGAACATCTTGTAATAGTGCCTCCAGTCAGCCCACATTTCCCTTGATAGTCTTTGCATTAATTCCAGCATAGTGATCTTAAACAGAGAAACAGGTAACTGGAATTTGAGCTTGAATCCAAGCTCTACTACCTACTGGCTGAGAAACTTTAGGATAAATGTATAAATGGTGATATTAGTAGCTGGACCTGTCTCATAGAGTCACTATAAAGATTAACTCTCTTAGTAAACAGCCGATGTGAAATAAGCATTTTCTATGGACATTACTGGTAAAGATTAGTACTGAATCTACAACCAGGGTAAATTAACATTATCCAAATCTTATTTTCCCCTTCAAAACTAACCTTTGATCTCATTCATGTTTTCTATGTTAGCACATCTGGTACATGGTTCATGCCCAGTTAATGTTTACTGAAACAATGTTTTGTTTTCCCTAACTACTCTTGCCTCCCTGTAATATCTCCCTTAATGATTTCTCATTCCACTTAAGAGTCTAGGCAGAGATCCTCAACCCAAAGGAGACCATGCTTTAAAATAGGGGCACTTGAAAAGAAAGAAAGAAGAGAAAAAAATATGTATATGAATACACAGAATAGCTAGGATAATTGTACTATTAGTATCTGTTGGTTTATTGAAAGGAACTGTTAATGTGTAATTATTTGATCAATCTTACATGCCTATATCTGGTTATCTGTACAACCATTTTGAAGATAACATTATGTAATATAACAACCACTGTTACCATCCTATCACCTTGTTTTGAAATCTGTATCGGACTGGGGATTTAGCTTAGCAGCACAGCGCCTGTCTGGCAAGCGCAAGGTCCTGAGTTCAATTCCCAGTACCGGAAAAAAAAAAAAAAGAAAAAAACATTGTTAGATAAAGAATAAAATTGTCAAACTGAATATACACACACACACACACACAATCTTCAGTAAAACATATTTCAAAAATAAAAGAACTAATAAATTGAATGAAAATGAAAATTAAGAGAAATCATTGTTGACAATATACC